AGATAAATTAGAATAAAAAAACAAATAAAAATTTTTTTTAGGATGTTTAAATTATGTATAAGGATTTATTGAAAATCTTTCTAAAAAAAGGTATAAGATACAAATTTTACTTAAAAAAACAAATACTAAAGGATGGAATAAGGAACACATGGAAATAGTTAAATCATTTAAAGAAGAATTTAAAATTTTAACAAAATTAAGATTACCAGATGAAAAAAATAATTTGATTGTTAATACTGATATCTCAAATAAATATTGGGTAGCAATATTAAAAACAGATTTAAATGAGATTTGTAGATATTCAGGTGGAACCTTTAATCAAACAAAAATAAATTATATCACTCATAAAAAAGAATTACTAGCAATTATTAGAGGAATAAAAAAGTTCTCATTTTTTTTTATTATCCAAGAAATTTATTGTTGAAATTGATAATTCTCAAGTTGTAGAATTAATCAGGAATATACTACCATCAAAACCTCAATACAGAAGGCTCCATAGATGACAAGCTTATTTAATATTTTATAATTTTGATATAGTTCATATTAAAGGAGTTAATAATTTTCTTGCAGATTTTTTCAACAGAAACATAGAATTTGCTGATAGATAAAACTAAAATCATGGATTTATACCTATCCATCCTACATATACAAAAAAGAACAGATTTTCTTAAAGAAAAATATGAAGATATAAATACTGGAGCAACAAAAATCTCAGAGATGTTCTACTCAAATATAAAAATATTGTTGAATATCACTACTGAGCATCATAAAGAGGCAATAGAACTTAAAAATCAAGTTGATGCTATTACAGCACAACTAAAAGATATACTGTCTGAGACAAATATATCGAAGAGCTCAGAAATGAATTTTCCAATTCAATACTAAACAAGAACAACTTGAAGTGGCAGTGAACCCAGACGTGACAATATATCAATTGATAAAAAAGAAGATTCTATTTCAGTATCATCGACTAAAAAAGTGATGATGCATGAAGATAAAAGAGATTCCAAAACTATCAGTATCATAAACCAGGATGATACAATCCCTTTAGATCCAAAAGAAGAAGAATATGCTAAAATAGTCAGAATCGCTCATGAAATAAAAGTAAGTGATTCATATTTCATCTCTCACGAAAATAATATTTATCTCAGAATAATAATCATGGAAGGAGAAGACCCTTCATTTATAAATATTATGACAGACTATGGATTTATAGATTTAATAAATGTAGGAAAAATTCAATTGAAATTTCAAAATTTGATGATATATTCATAAAAGAAGTATCCAAATTTGCCAAAGGACAAAAAATATATTTGAAATTTTATTCAGTAAGTTCTGAATATGATGGAGTTGTTTACTATCCAGTTGAACATATAATATCAGTTGGGTATGTAACAGCCAACTTCCAAATAGATGTGGTGGAAAATGATAGAAAAGTTTCAACAGTGACAAAGTCATAGATCAGAAGTAGAAGAGCACTTGGAATTAAAGCTATATCCAATATTGCTAAAAATTTGTTTGATAAAAAATTCTCATACTTGTCTCAATTTGAAAATTGGATGCTGGTATCAAATGGATGACATGGAAAATCAGAAATTTTGAAGAATTACATTACAAGATTCGAAATACATCAATTTATAGGATGTCCTAAAAGAATTCTGCCAGTTAAGGGAGTGCCCCAAGTGCATGTGAAGACATAAAAGATAGATGACAATAATAGAAAAATATACTCTTTGGATAAAAAGTTGAAAAAACATGTGGAGATATAGAAAAAAGAGGACAATAATAGAAGCTTCTTTAATAAAAATCAGATGTTGCACGTGAAAATGTAGGTCTAAAGAGGACAATAATAGAACGGCAAGTGTGCCTTTGCTAATGTACTGAATGATGTAATAGATCAATAATAGAGTCTCATATATTTGTACAAATAGAGGCATTGTAATAGAAAAAATCATCTTGAAATCGAAGAATCTTCTCTCAAATTGTAAACTCGATTTGTAATGGAGAATCAACATTTCCAAAACCAGTTTTTCTGGAAATCCCTTTGTACCAAATAAAAGTTTTGTATAAATTCGGATAGAAATAAAATTTCAATATTTTGGTATCAATATGAGTTTCCAAATCTTTATTTCCATAGATTCTTGAAAAATCTAATAGAAAGTTTCCTTTTATTTTAGCAAAAATAGAATTTTTCTTTAACAGAAGTCTAAAATTTTATTCTTTAGAGTTGATAGAGTAAGAGCAAGAAATTGAAATAGTAAAAATTGCATGAAGGCAGGAAGCCATTGAAGGAAACAATTTACACATTCAGAGCTCAAGTATCACTCGGTTCTAAGAATAAAGATCCAGATCAAAAGTAAAGTAAAATAATTAAATTTTTGCTAGAATTAAAATATATCTTTTTAGATCTTAGAGAATCAAAGTGATTAATTGCATGATTTGATGATTATTTGTATTAATGCTAAGATATATAATTGAAGGATTAGATAATTTGTTAGAAAAAATGTTAGAAGAAATAAAAAATATTATTTCTCAATTAAAAAATATGAATACATCTTCTGAAGAATATAATATACTTAGTGAAAAATATGAAAAGTATGTTACAGATTATTCCAATCTACTTGATTGAAGAATGAATTTATATGCTAAAATTCAAAATAGAATAAATATTAAATAAAATAGTTTAAAAGATTGGGATATATATTGCAATATAGAAAGAATTATTTCATTAAGGGTAATATAGAATTTTCCATGAAAAGGAATAGTAATAGGCCAAATAGAAAAATTCCCCGTAGTCAATATGACAATAAAAAGCCCATAGCATTATTGCATCTTCAATATGAAATAAATGTTTTCGTTCTAAAACTATAACGCTTTCTTCTTAAAGATACAAGAGTAATTTCACATTAGTTTAGAAATAAAAATAAATAATTATCCTTAGACATTTCATTAATTATTATATTTTTTTCATACTTTTGTATTTATTTTATTTTATTTTTTTGAAAAAATATCATGGAAAATAACTAATAAGTCATTTTACGCCCTAACAAATGACTTCTTGAACGAATTAGAGACATAATGTGCTAATTAATGGAATGTTGAAGATAAAAATGCCGTGTAAAAAGTTTGTGACTTAAATATTACAATGAGCAAAAATTGAGAACCTAATAAATGACTAAATTATGGTGCAACAAATAAAAATTGTGATGCAAATATAATTAAACTCATGTTAATTCCCTGAAAAAGTTACCATTTTTCTCACCTAAAAATGAGTCTTAACACAAAACCTTTAACAATAATGTTATCTAACAGCCCTTCTTCAGGAGGTCGAGTTGGTGGAATAGGTGAGCGCGGAGACCTTTGATCATGAGTTCGATTCCTCATACCAACACTTTCTCGGTCGAGTCTGTCGTATCAGGCTTGCCTAGTACGGTTTATCTAGCTGACGTTGCAGGCTATTACGTCAGTTCGAGGGTTTACCCAGTGCACACTCGAAGGATAGCGGCTGCAAGTTCACTTATCATAAAAAAATAAAATGAAATAAAAAATAATAATATTATTATTATCTAACATCAATAATGCTAAAAAATGTTATTCAATCCATAAATATAACTGCTCCGCAAAGATAATAATGATTGCTAATTTCTCATAATTCCTGTCAAATTATTGTGGCACGTAGTTGCACACAGTCAATGCCTTGGAACAAAATTCATGCAATACATATAGAATTATCTTGAATTTACAAATGGCCATTTGTGTGTGTGTGTGTTTTTTTTCTCAACTATAAAAGGGTGGAAGAATGAATCCAGGTGAGGCTTGATGAGAAGACGAATTAATAAGGCTTTGTAAGAATACATGGAGTACGATGCCTATTGCATCAAGGGAGGCCATGGCAGTAGCCATGCAGGGGTGGAGTGGGGTTGGATGTTTTTATTTTAATTATCAATATTTGAAAAAATATTAATTCTAAAGTTATCATTTTACCCTTTTAATTTAATTAAAATTGGTTAGAGTGCACTTTACCTGATGAACTAACAGTCAAATGGATCTACTAATTCTCAAAGGTGATATCCGCCAATACAAATTGAAAGTTAGTGTAATCAAAGGTTATTGATACAATTTTCCTTAACTTTTATTCTAGACAACATAACAAAACAAATAGGAAATCTTAGAAAATATATATATTTCAAAATTCCATAGATTAAAACATGTTTTTTTATGGATTCTCTTAAAGGGAGTGTATTTAATTGAGATTTTTAGTGACTTTGTGGGATTTAAAAAATTTAGCTTTATTTAATGCAAGAATTTTTTAAGACTTCTAAAGATCTTGTTGTATTCCATTAAGAAGTCACGGTGTATTCAATAGGTTTTTTTAAAAGTTTCTACAACAACAACAATAATAATATGTATTTTTTCTTCAATATATATCTTTCATTTTCCCTTTTACAAACATTAAA